CTCTCCTGACGATCCTTTGGCCCTAACGCCATCCCATTTCCTTATTGGGCGTCCAGCTACTGCATTGCCCGATCCGGACTTCACCGAAACACCGATGACAAGATTGTCAAGACACCAGTTGCTACAGCAGTTACAACAGCACTTTTGGAGGCGCTGGTCCAACGAATACTTGAGCGAGCTACAGCAACGTATCAAGTGGAGATCACATCAATGCCAACTTCAACTTGGTTCATTAGTAGTTCTCCGAGACGATAACCTACCTCCTCTACATTGGAAACTTGGTAGGGTTTCCACGCTTCATCCTGGCGCAGACGGCAAGGTTCGAGTTGCTACCGTGCGAACATCTTCAGGTGCAGTGAAACGTGCGGTAACAAAGCTTTGTGTGTTGCCAATAGAGCCCGAACCAGTGCAGAAACCGGACTGTAAAGTTAGTGATGTAAAAACAAAAACGCGATCATAACGTGCTATCTTATTCCATTTTACAATCGGATGTACTATTGTGAAATGTATTCATTCGTATATTGAAAGCTGACTCTTTCAAGGTCGGGGGTATGTTTACGCCTCAAAACTTTTTTCTATGTATACAATATCTATAATTATTTCCGCTATATTCGCATGCGCGGCTGAAAAGAAGCGACGTTGCAATTAAGAAAAGACAGACTTCCTTGTACGACCTTCGAAAATAAACACGTACATTTTGAGCGGGTGTTTCCCTTCTTGATTCACCTCTCATCAGCAGCAATATTACAAAAAACAATGTCTTGAAGCTTTTGTCTCAGTTCGGTGATTGTACGAGTAGGATGTTGTCGTAGAACCTTTTTCATCTCGTGCCACAAAGTTTCAATAGGTGACAGATCTGGACTGCTAGAAACCCATTTCAATAGTGGTACATTATTTTCTTCCATCCATTTTATAGCCTTTTTTGAGGTATGACACGATACACCATCTTGCTTAAACCAAAATCTTGGCCGGATGTCAAACATTCTTCCATCAGTGGTAAAAGCGATTCTTCTAAAATTGCCAAATATTTGTTTGTATCCACATTTTCATCAATAAAATGAAGTTTTCCAACTCCTTTTGGAATGCTTAATTTTTTTTGCGAATAACCCAACTGCGACTGTCACCAACACAAACTTCGAATCGGGCCTCATCACTCCATTGTATTGTACACCATTGTTGATGTGTACATTGTCTACGTTCTTTAGCCCATCTAAGCCGATTTTTCTTTTGCAGCGGAGTTAATAGTGGCTTTTCTTTGGCCTATAAACAAGTGGTCATCAAGTCATCGTTGGTTGTCAGAGCGGTCCGTGGGACCTTAGCTCTTGAGTCACAGTGTCAGTTTGTAAGTCTGTCAGGTCTGGTAACCCAGAAACCAGACAATTTTAAGGAAAAAAGGGGAAGGAAAGGAGAGAAGGAAGAACGAGAGCAAAGGGGAAGAAGAGAATCTTTTAGGATATGCAGCGTTTAGGCATTGTTAAAATCGCTTCACAGATTTTGATATGGTCTAAGAATATTTGATTTTTTCTAAAGATTGTGTAAAAATGCTCAAATTTTGGTTGTTCTAAGTTCACGAGTTAATTTTGATTACTTGCTCGACTGTGTAGTCCACTGAATCACGCAACAGAGGGTTGCTGTGCGATTCCGCTAGGCTATAGCGCCGCTGCGCCTGTTGCTTAATGTAGTCCTTTAGGTAAGGGACATCGAGGTCTCTATGTAGAGTTTCGTTAGAGACATACCATGGGGCATCGGCAATAGTGCGCAACGTCCTGCTTTGCAGAACCTGCAGACTTCGCAGGTGTGTTTTAGCAATAAAACACCAAGCCGCACATGCGTATGTCATTGCTGGTCTTATGACCACCTTATAGAGTCGAATCTTGTTAATCAAACTTAATTTTGACCGTTTACATAATAATGGGTAAAGCTGCCGAAACGTAATTTGGAATTTAGTTTTTAGCGCTTCCATATGGTTCCGCCAAGTCATCCCTTTGTCCAGAATGACACCGAGATACTTAGCGGAGGATTCCCATGGTATACGAAGTCCATTCATTGAAACTTCAGACGGAACGCCGCGACGTCTTTTTGTACAGTAGATTGCCTGCGTTTTCGAATGGTTTATTTTAATTAGCCACCGATCCGCCCAATCTAATACTTCTTCCACCGCACTTTGCAGCCTGTCATGGACTAGGTCACCAGACCACGACTGAGCCACCAATGCAGTATCGTCAGCATAGAGATAGACTTCACAGTTGCTGGGACTAGGGACGTCATGGATGTACAGTGAGTAAAGGATAGGTCCAAGGACCGAACCCTGAGGGACGCCGGCTGTAATCAGCCGTGTTGTCGACAGCACATTGTCAATTTTGATCCGAAATTTCCTACCTTCAAGGAAGGATTTCAGTAGTTTTAGAAGCCAAAAAGGGAAGCCCTTTTGGATTAGTTTATACAAGAGGCCCGCGTGCCACACCTTGTCAAATGCTTTTGAGACATCCAAAAGCAAGATGCCAGTACTTTCGTTAAGGGTGAATCCTCTGGTTACACGTTCCACCAGCCTAACCGCCTGTAGCTCCGTACTATGTTCAGACCGAAAACCGAATTGCACGTCAGGAATCACATGGTGATCTGACGAGAAATTCTCAAGGTGACGTAGAATCACCTTTTCAGCGAGCTTAGACGCAGCTGACAGCAGGCTAATGGGACGATAATCCTGGGGAAATATCGAACCCACCTTCTTTGGAATCATTATAACTTCAGCGGTCTTCCACGCGGATGGGAAGTACTGGATCCTGAGCATGGCATTGGCTATTGCCACGAGATAAGTTAAGGACTTCCGCGAAAGCAGCTTCAGCGCCTTATTAGTGATTTGATCCTCCCCAGGTGCTTTACGCACTTTAAGGTCTTTAATATGACCTTGAATCTCTGCTGGTGTGCAATGCGGGATCTCAGGAGATACCGCTGATGTGCTAAGCAAATCTTCGGTTGAAGAAGCTTCTGAAGAAGAATCTTCTGATGAAGAAAAATCACCAACGAATGCGCGACTGTCACTGACGCCGTTGGCCCTAAAATATCTCCTGACAGATCTTACCATGTGTTGCTCCTCGTCGAGGTCATTATCAAGATCATAGTTGGGAGAGAACTGTCTTTCCATGGCATCGGCGAAAACCTCAACCTTCTCCTCTGTCCTGAAGACAATGCCTCCAGGACCGTGAATGTGTGGGATTTGTTCACGCTTTCCGTTTTTGAGCGACTTCGCCACCTTCCAGAGAGGAATGCTTGAGTCAAGCATCCCCGCCAGAAAGTCGTTCCATTGCTCATTGCGGAATTCATGAAGAGCATTTCTTACTTCATGAACAAGATTCGTCGCTCTGCGAATGTCATCAGGATGACAAGACCTTTTCGCTTGCTTAATTGCAGCTCTTTTATCAGAAATTTTCTGACGAATGTCTGCTGGCAGAAAAGGTCTGCCGTGTCGCTGCACGGGAAGTACAGCTGCACGCTGCAGAGTTTGCTGAACAAAACTTGTCCACTCTGCTTGAGCCGCATCTATACCGTTCTCATCATCTATGATCGGTATATTGGGGAACTCTTTGAGGAGCGACTTGTATAGCTCCCAATCAATGCGTTTCCTTGGAGGGATTTCATCCCCCAAGATCTGCTCATTAGCCACTTCCAAAACGACGGGAAGATGATCGCTTGAGATGTCATACATGATTCGAGAAGTGATGCTGTAGCTACAGTTTTTGGATAATGCCAAATCAAGAACATCAGGTGCCTGAAGGTGATTAAATGGGTGGTGCGTCGGCTCCTCAGTACTATGTATGAGGTAGCCATTTCGTATCACATGGTTGTACAGTCGGATCCCACTGGTGGAATTCAACCTGGAATGCCATGCTCGATGTTTGCAGTTGAAGTCCCCTGCCACAATAAGTGGACCCGAGTAGTCTAAAAGGACTTCCAGATCCGCCTCTTGCAGCCTGTTACCACACCTGACATACACCGATGTGATTTTTAACGGCACACCTCCCGTCATATTGACCACCACGGAAGCCGCTTCGATGCTCTGCATGTCAGCGTTTGTGCTTCTGTGGTAGTCAATACCGCGTTTCACTAGCACTGCCAAGCCGCCACCCCGTCCAGTCAATCTATCAGCCCGGATAACATCGTAATTCGGGAAAGCTAGACGATCTCCCGGATTAAGTAATGTTTCCTGCAGCAAAGCCACATCTATACTTTCGTCCACAAGAGCTTGATGAAATTCCCGTCTTTTGGGAATGTCCCTTAGACCCAAACAATTCCAAAAAAGAATTTTGATAAATGCAGGCTGTCGTCGATTGTACCTAGCCATTTGCAGGAAAGATCGCCTGCAAAGCCTGTGTTGCGCTAATCAGAGGACCTATGATCTGCTGTAAGGACCTTAGCGCGGTTGCCAGGTCCACATTTTGCGTGTTCGCAGAAGATCCCACAGAGGGGGCAGCCCGGGTTGCATCCCTAGCTGCATCCGCGTAACTTACATTGCGCCTTTGCGCTATCACTTGCAGATTTTTCTTAGGGGCAAATCTGCAAGTTCGGCTATTCGCTGGATGCCCCCCTCCACAGTTCGCGCACTTTCGTTCCTCTTGTTCTGTTTGAGGGCATAAGTGGGTCATGTGGTCAGAGGCACATTTTAGACATTTAGGTGGTGCAGTGCAGTAAGATTGCGCATGCCCATATTTTTGGCAGCGGTGACACTGCCCGATGAGTCTTGAGTTCTTTTGAACTTCGACTCGGATAGCCAAACCTAGCAGCTCGTGTTCGTTGAACAGCTGCTGAGATTTTTCTATCTTGGGCAGTATGACTACCACCAAAGGCATGGGCACGCCGCCACCGCGTTTCAGGCGAATTATGTGCAGGGGGGAATATCCCCTCTGTTGCAACTCTTCCTTGATCTCAATTTCCGAAAGTGTCGCATGTACTCCTCTGATTACAGCATGAATGTTCCTCTCGGAGGGTAGAGGGAAAGTGTGATGGGGCACCTCTTCCTCCCTGAAGAGACGAATAATCCTGCGGTAATCATCCTCGGACTTGGGAATTATCCTGATTCCTGCATCGACGGCAACCGCGCGTTCGAATTTGATGCCCAAGGAAATAAACTTGTGATTTACGCCTCGCCATCTCGAAGCATCACGAAGAACGATGGGGGTAACACGTACCTTGCGTGGGGGCTGTGCAGTCGTGTCTTCTGGTACCTGAGATGTCGAAGGCGTGGAAGTAACCGATAGATTAGGCACAGGCTGATTATTCGAGTAGCTTGCAGTTGAATGAGATGTTTCAGACTGCGATTTTGGTGGAGGGAGAGGAGGAAAGCCTGTCGTGTCGGTCTTGTTTCGTCGCGTTTTACGGGGCTTAACCTTGGTAAAACCGTCAGGGAGTGTATCGTCGTCTGTGGAAAGATCGCTTGAATTATTTAACGGTCTCTTAAGATTGACAGCTTTGTCTTTACTGGGATTTTTGGGAAGTGTTTGGGAAGAATTTGTAATATTTAGATGGGAAGGTACCTGGGTTTTCAGTAGGAGGTCTAATTTAACTGTTAGGTCGGTAATTGTCCGCTGCTGGGCTTCGATGATCATCATCAATCTTTCATTGGTCTTCTTATCATCGTCCTTTTTTGACAGCTCCTGTCGAACCATCTCCAATTCGGCTCTCAGCTCCTCTATGGTCTGCTCCTTCGACTCCATCTCCATTGCCATGGTGGAAGCGCCATTTCCTGACCCCCCTGGGTCAGTTTCCATATTAAACACCTCGGTTATCTCGCTTTTCGTCTAAAAAATTTTCCGGATCGAAATTACGGGACAGCTGCTATCAGTGCCCTATACAGGGCGATTCAAAGTGGTGCAACTTTAGGGTTTTACTTCACTTTTTTTTATAAGAAAACTTAACTTGCAAGTGCTAAATCCCAGTTTGTGGGCCTCTCTATGAGTTGTGGACCTCGAAATTCTCCTTCCAACAGCGTCACCTCCACAGAGCAATTAATTGTAAAGAATTGGCTCGCGTGTTTTTCACGATTATTATTCTTAATGCTCTTCGGTCGGCATTTGTGATATTACTTTTTTCATATCTCGTGGATTAATATTAACTGAACCAGTTACGTTATATCTTCTAACAATATTTCTCACACTGTACCGCGATAAGTCTAATAAAGTTGCAATTTCTGAGTTTGATTTCCCAGAATTAAAGAATTTAATTATCAGTAACTGAATTTTCTCACTAATAACCTTTCCTCTACCCATTTTGAAAACCGTAACTACCCAAAACTATTTTAAACGTATTCTGACAGCTGTGATTAATAAAAACAATTGTCATGGCTTGTATTTTTCACAGCCACCTATGCGTTATAGACTTATTTTGCATTGAAATGAAAATAGGTTGATATGCTGTAATTGCAACATGTGTTATTTTTATGCTGCAAATTTGATTAGGGAGTGATAAAGTTGGTGTTTTCTACTATATATTATCAAAATATTCATTTTTAGTATTTTAAACCTATAACACCCTGCTACATTTTTATTATTTGTGTTTGATAATAAAAAAAAACTAAAATTTCAATAGTTGGGCCAAATGAAGTGGGAAGGGGCTCGTGTCATCCAATTACTATTTATGAGAGGTGCTAATACTGCATTAACGCGTCAGTTGTTAGCGGAGGCGCGATACCCAAACGTTGCGTACGTCTAGTGCTAGAAGTAAAAGGTATCCGCACAAAGAATTTAACCAATAAAGTATCAACTATGGATATCTTATCGACAAGTGAATGAACATAACGATGATTTACCACATGATTGTATAAAAAGTTAATAGGCATTATTGCAGATGTGTGTCTGGCGCCCAAACTCTAGGCACACAACACCTTCCTAAAAGGTTTCTAAATGAAATACTTTGTTCAGTATAACAATTCTCTTATGGTCGCAGAACTGCAGCAGACACATTCGCCATTTTTGCGAATCGGGCAAAAATCTGGTATTTCCCAGAAAGCAATCATAGAATTGGTTTGGTCCCACGAGAACTTTTGTATTATGCTCAATTTTTAGACAAATCGTATACGACTGATTTTACATATGTTTTGTCATGGATCCTTTTGCCTTAGAAAGTCATTCCTTGGGTTAATGGGGTACCTACATTCAGGGTGTTTCCAATTCGACCATTACCATTGGGATCTCGGAAATGGTAAGAGATACGAAGTCGCTTAAATGAGGGCAAAGCGGGGTATTAAGGTAACTAACAAAATACCGCTTAGAAAGTTTAGAAATTCTAAGTACTTTCATAGAAAGACCGAAAAAACCGAATTATACCAAGTTCTTTTTTTTGACTTTATTTGTAGTGGGATTTAAAACTATATTATACATCAACATAGCCACTCTTTCTTTTTTAAAAGATGGCATAGTTAGAATTTCATTAAGGCCTCTAGCATCAAATCTATTTTTTCTCATGAACGCCATATTTGATGTTTGCACATAGTTTTTAACTCTGATTCCAAAAATGTATAATATGTCATACATTAAGTTGCTTCATTTCTTAGGTAGGCCTTGAAATCATCAGATCAGTTGTTTCGTATACCGGCAGGGGTATTAACATACATGAAAAACCTAAAAAACGTCAAAGAAAGCCAACGAAATGTCATTTTGCAGACTAGGTAGTTTTTAGTGTGAATTTAGTTCATTCCACGATTACTCGCTATGATCGCTGTTCGCTGACGTTTGAGGAACACGTACAGCTACAAAACCGGTTCACAACAAGTGTACAACAGCTTGTGCTAAGTTAACATCTTGTAGAAAAACCTACGTTATTTCACAAAACATCTACGAAATGTCAAAAAAAAAACGACGAAATGTCACTTTTCAGGATAGAAAATACCCGTGCAGATCAGACCTCAAATTGAACATAGTCCGGAAGACTGAGAAGAAGGGCAATAAACCTAGCAGTAAAGGACTAAAAACGCAATTCAATTATACAGAATTCCAATAAAAAACAAAGTTGGTGTTGCAAGTCGCAAACTTTTAGAGGAGAAAAAGTGAAAGTGGCAACATGTAATTAACATTGAAATCTCATCTCAAGCAAAGTTAGGAAAAATAAAAAAATGAATCTGGGATTAATCTGGCATACTAAACAAATGACGGTGTGGTAATTTCAAGGCCTACTTAAGAAATTCTGTTTTTTAATAACTAAGGTTTGGCAATGCCTATGTATGCCCTATTAGATGTTTTTCGAATTAGAATTAAAAATTTGATGCTGTAAAGGAGAGAAAGTGGCAATGTTAATGTGCAATTCATTTTGAAATCCGACTACAAATGAGGTCGATGTTGTGTTCAAGCTGCCACATTTTTGTTTCTTCCTTTACATGACGTACAGAATTCTGCCACGTTTCAGGCGTTACCAGCTGTATGGAATTCTCTAGCAAATCCTTGACGTCTGGTAATTTAAAAGTTGTGTTATGGCGCGCAATATAACCCTTCACTTGAGTCCAGATGAGCTCGATTGGGTTCAGTTCACAATCGTATGGCGGTAAACACAGCACAGTGATACCACAATGACGGGTCATCTCATCAATCACGTAACTAATGTTCGCAGGATTGTGATGTTCAATTTATTGTTTGGTACAGTTCCGCTTTCACACATGAATCATCAAACGGGATGCCCTTTTCGCGCAACCATTGCTGCATCTCTCTTTTTCGATACCCCATATTTGGTACACGTTCGGCTCGATGACCGTGGTAGGAAGCATTATCCATGACGATCACAGAGTTGGGTTCAACTAGCTGAAGCACCCCTTGTAACCAGATTTCGAAGCAGCTGGCATTCATTTCGTCATGGTAATCACCTCCTTTCTTAGAGACATCCTTATAAAAAGCCACTATCGATCAATTTTTAACTTTTTCCTGACGGTGCACGAAGACCTGTTGACAAACCTTCAATGCTTTCTTGTCGCTTACTTAGTACATTTTGGTCTATCCACTGTGTGATCTGCATTTACCCACGTCTCGTCCAAATAATATATTTTTCTGCTTTGTAGTCTATATTCAGTTATTGCATCCTGACTTCCGATTACCCGTTTCGTAACGAAAATTGAGTTCGTGCAAGGTTCCTCAATACTTCTACGCTCACAGGGGGTACAATGTCATTACTCTTGATCTTTGAATGTATAGCCTTAAAGGCTGGTATCTCATTCCTGATAAAGAATGACTGTACGGTTCGTCTTAGCGCCATTTTGCTGTAGCCAATTAGTTTAATAGCCTTTCGTCTCTTCAAATAGAACTTTGGATAAGCAGTAGCTCCAGTTTTCTTCTGTTCACGCACCACCCTGCGAACAGTCCACTCTGGGATGCCTGTCATGCTTTCGCAACGCGTAAGTGCATCTTCCTGATACACAGTCTTGTTCAAAGAATTGAACACGTTGAGGACGATTTCTTTCGCGTCTTTCAGCCTTACAAAGCTTTCTACTTGTTTCCTGGATTCCAGTACTTCCACTTCTAGTCTCACCCTCCATGGTTAAGAAAATGTAAGTGTAACCAGAACAATAACAACAGCAAATAACCAAATAAGAACTTTTCTAATAACAAGCAATAACATGCGGTAACTAGACTCTCAACGAAACAAGTTCTTATCATCTTATCTCAGGACCGCAATCAGTTTTTATTCTTCCTTTCAGTTTAATTATGGTAATATCCATGCGCGTTTCTTACTATTAGCATGTTTGTTGATTTTGACAGGTTTTAATGTTTTATTACAAGTAGACGAGCTCATCGTTGGAAAAATAAAGCTTAACCGCTTGAGCAAACCAAGCCACTTGGTATCCGTTCCGAAACAGGCAAGGACCTAATAAGGCAACCAGAGGACGATTAAAAATGACTATATCCTCATGAAAAGCGTTATCCGCGGATTTTTTAGTTCTTCTGAAGATCCTTATTCTCGTAGTAGTAGCATTTATGTATGAACCACCATTTAGGCAGGGTACACAGGTGAAGTAGCACGATCGTGATTTATATACTGTTTTACTCAAGATTATTATAACAAATAGAGGAGATCTTGTGAGCATGATATAAAAATTGAAATTGTAATAAAGAATTGAATCAAAACGGTAGGCCCATATTTTCCCATTTTTTGTTTATCAACATACTTGTATTCTAATATCTCAAGGTTTGTCAAGATGATTGTGGGACATATTGTCCGAATAAAATGTGTATTCTTGAGACTATGTAAATCGAACACTCAGAGCTTAGAATACCACCCTGTTCTAGCCTGACGCCTCTCGACAGCCGTTCCGTCGCCCGGCGGCGGTCAGGCTCTGATCGCTCGTATGAGTCATTACAGTTTTAGATAGTTACAGTATAGTTTGACTGTACTGTAGCACTAATAACTTTCGTCGTTCAATCAACGTCCATTAGAGATGGCTTGATACTCGGCTAGAGAGAAAAGGCGGACAGAATGGGTGGTAGTGTCGCAAAAGGCTTACATCAAGATACAGCTTCAAAGGGAAACCAAGCTTGCGATGTTCAGGAGTTGCTAAGAAGAGTTGCCGATAGGTCGCGAATGCAGGCGCCGGAATATGAAGTAGTAATATCGGTTTTTCATTTTGAGATTAAAATAATCCATAAGCGAATATAATTGAAGGACTTGGTGCAATGAGGTACCTAAGTCACATTGACCTTATTATGAGAAATCGAAGGGGTCTTATGTAAATCCTGAATTCATGCTTCTTGCTTAATTTCGATTGAAACGCAATACTAGGTTCATATTTGAGGGACAAAGATTTGGTGGCGACATTAACGCAATCTATATCTGCAAAAAGTTAAAAATGATTTGGTTACAAATCCGAATCATTTTTGGTCTTTCATCCAGTCTAAGAAAGGCTCATCTAGAATACCAGGTAGGATGACCCTTGCTAATGAAGTCTCAGATAATCCTAATCGGACTATTATTTTATTCGCAGAGTATTTTTAAAGTGTTTATGTTATAGATAGTAATGTATACCAACATCCCGTTGTTAATAGTCAGCATGACTGTTTTCATCTGGGTAACTTCACAGATGAGGATATTCTAAAGGCACTGTGTAAATTACCTAAATTACCAAACAAGTTAACAGCAGGAGAAGATATGGTACCGAGCTTTGTAGTCCGTGATGCGGCGCACATATTTGTCACGCCTTTAAAGAAAATTTTTAATTATTCCCGCAGTACAGCAACTTTTCCTACAAAATGGAAACTGGCTAGAGTGTGCCCTATTTTTAAAGCTGGGGACCCTAGTCAAATCGAAAATTATCGAGCTATATCTATATTGGATAATTTTGGTAAGGTATTTGAGATATCTGTATACAACTACATCTATCCTTTGACCTCGCATCTGATATCTGAGACGCAACATGGATTTATGCGCAATCGCTCTACTATTTCTAACTAAACTGAAGTTACCCAGGAAATTGCAGAGGTCTTAGATAACAGGGGTCAGATGGATGTGGTCTATACGGATTTCTCAAAGGCTTTCGATAAGATAAGTCACCAAATAATCATAGGTAAACTTCAGCATTTTGGCTTTAGCAATTTTAGATTTCATTTCTTCTTACTTGCATGATAGAAGTCAGTACGTTTCTTACCATGGTTTCAAATCTTCACCTTACTCGGCCTCATCCGGTGTACCGCAGGGATCAAATATAGGTCCTCTTCTCTTTCTTTATTTTATCAATGACCTCCCTAACTGCTTAACTTGTCCTTCTCTGTTGTTTGCTGATGATTTAAAAATATATGCTCAGATTAACAGCATTGAGGACTGTCTAATCTTGCAAGCTGACCTGAATCATATATTTGAATGGTGTTCAACTAATAAATTATTTTTGAATGTTAGCAAATGCAAAACCTGTTCTTTTACCAGGAAAACGAATCCAATAGTTTTTGATTACACACTAGAAGGTGTCAGTTTGATGCGTTGTTCAGAAGTAAGAGATCTAGGTGTGTTGTTTGATGTTAAATTAGAATTTACAGGTCATATTAGTACAATAGTATCATCCGCTATAAAAAGTCTCGGTTTTTTGATAAGAAACTGTAAATCGTTTGGTTGTGAAACGACAAGGAAGGCTTTATACTGCACGTTGGTGCGTTCTAAGCTGGAATATGCATCTAGTGTATGGCACCCATATTACCAAATCTATATTAATGAAATTGAAAGTGTACAGAGGAGATTTCTTAAATACTTGACTTTCAAATTAGATGGTGTTTATCTCAATCGTGGGACTCCCCAATCAGCAATGTTGCTCAGATTTGAAATGCATCCTCTTGAGCTGAGAAGAGTTTGTAATAGTTTAACATTCCTTTACAAACTCGTACACAGTGACGTTGATTCTTCAGCTTTATTAGCTAAAATTGATTTTCATGTACCGTCCATTTCCCAAAGATTTCTCGCTTTTTACTTAAAAACACCAAATTCTAATGTTATAATTAAGTCACCCGTGTACTTTATGTGCTCCAGCTTTAACGCCATAGCTGATAATTGTGACATTCATCATGATACAATCAAAGATATATTAGCTGTATTCAGCGACTACTATTAGTCAATTTATAACATTTAAGACATGTAGGTGAGTAGGTGTAGCTATTCACTTTTTTTCATAAAATGGGTGAGCTATGATTGTAGTTGAAAATATTGTAACATCAAATTGTATTCAATTACATTTTCCTTTAAATGGATGTATCTGTTGGGCAATAAATATATTATTATTATTATTATTATTTTCGTAAAACAAATATATTTTTGAATATATTATGGCTTGGTGCCTTATTGCAAAAAGTTACATTCCAAGAGTAATTAGAAATGGTTTGTTCGATAAACATATAATTTGAATTTACGTTCTTAGATTTAAAACAGCACACTTCATTAAATTCCACGGTCTCGTTATCTACGTTACAGTTCTTTTTTGTGACAGGTATGGAGCCAAATGCGTATCTCCATGTGCGCGTGTCAGATGCGATCTCAACTTTAAAAAAAATATGAATGTTCCTGAAGACTGAAGAAGGTCACCTGGTACACAGATAAATGTATTTGACCAGAAAGGTCCAGCCATTCATCACAAAATTACATATTATTGACACGTATTAAAACTACGCGGTTGTAGTCAATCAGTGTAATTATAACCCTCCTCTACCCCCTACAACCCCCGAATCTCAACCCCTACAATTTTTTTTTCTGAAAATGATCAGGATCCTCTGAAACGTCAAAAACAAAGTTTGAGCGATTGTTGTTTTTTCGCGTTTTTGGCTTTTTTCTTCGCCGCCACTGGACCGATTTCCAAATACTACTAAGCTTTTTCGTCCTTCTCATAGTAGCAACCTTGTGTGGAAATTTCATCAAAATCCGAGCGGTAGCCGACAGACGGACGCACAAACACACGGAAATGAGTGACATGGTTTTTCGTGATGAACATGTCATATAACATCCAAAAAACACAATATCTCATGTTCGAGATTTTTGCTGTTAGGGCTTTCCATATCAACTTTCTTGGTATGCGATCGAAAGCTTTTTCTGGATGTTATCTTGTACACCAAAGCCTTTCCGAAAGCCAGCCTCAGAATCTAGGAAATATGGGTCTACTTTTTCAACCAACTTGCTACACAATATCCTTTTATATCGTTTTAAGATCACACTGAGCAAAGTAACAACACTTCTATAATTCTTGCAAAATATCTTATCCCCTTTGTTAAATACCGGTTCAATTATGGCTATCTTTTACTCTTTCGGTATTTTACCCTCTCTCCAACACTTTCTATACATAGTGAAAAATAATAGCAGCCCTTTATTTCCCAGTGTGTTTAGCGTCTCAGGTTTTATGTTGTCATTACCTGCTAACATGACTTCTAGTTCAATATCTTTTCTCCCCTGCCTGGACCATGCCTCCGCCGTTTGTGTTTATATCCCTATCGCATTTTCTATGTTGAATAGCTTCCCTGATTCCATAATCTCCATCTTCTTCTCAAAATTGTCCACGTCCACAACACTCAGTTTTGCATTAACTTTTTTGACATCGTTTATTTTTGTTTCCACGTTCACATGTTTATTGAGAAATATTATTTATTCATTAACTCCATTTGATTGTAGTAATGAAATTAGTATATTGTTGCTTCTTGCTTGTTTATCCAAAGTCTCCGTTCGGGATTTCAATGCTTCTAGTTGTACAACTCTGCTTCTGAGGTGTCTTATTTCGTTTTTGATTTCATCGTTTTCTTGCTTCATTAGTAACATTTCTTCTTTAAATTTCTTATCCTCCTTCCCAATTTACTTTAGTTCGCTCATGATGGCGACCTTAGTACCTTCTTACTTTTTTTGAGAACAGCGTCGTCTTCTCTGTTCCTTCTTGCCTCGCCCGTAGTGTCGTCCCCTCACGTTCTTGATAAGTTAAACGGAATATGTAAGTTGCTGCCTTAGTAGTACCCCTGTGGTTATTTCGATCGAGAAACACGATCGTAAAATCCTAGTGAACATCACTACTTCGTGTCCTGGCACAACTGCTATCAACACACACAAAATATTTTTTTCTGAGACGGGAAAAATGTTTGACATTTTATCTCTGTTGACAGGTAACAAAATGTCACTTTTTATGGAATTACTTTTTCCCCAGATAAAAATGAGTACTTTTTCCCGGATGTTGTATAAACGATTTAGCGGGCAATAATTTTTTTGACGCTACTTTGGCTACTTCTACTAATTCCGGTGAAGTCAAAGAAAACTCGGAATCAGACATTTTTTACTTTATAGTATTAAAAATAACTTCTAAACAACCACTACGTTCACAATTTTTAAATCAAATCACAAAATTAAATTACAGCTATTTGATTGCTTTAAAAGTTTCCTTAGCAACGCAGGTCTGATTGTCGCTATAAGTACAACATGGCCTACTACTATCAAAATTCAAATTTTACGTCGATAATTTTCTGACTTAAAAATTGTACTAATATATTTGTTTAATGTTAAATCGTCGTTTTTCCCGTCACAGAAAAAAATTGTGTATTATACACGGAAAAAATACTATATGTTAGCTTTCGTTTTTTTGTCTTCCTCCCTTTGGCTTTGGAAAGAAAAAAAAAGCGTCATGTAGGTTGACTCTGCACTGCCTACGCAACACCGCCTTCAGTCCATAATGGATTCAGTTTAGCGGAATTTAAATCCTCAGTTACATGTACAACACAGAGATTATACGAATTGTGTCAGTCAAACAGGCCCATAAATTTAGTCCAAATGCCCTACTGGTCGTTACCGTCCGTCTGGCAACGTTTTTCCTTTCCGTGTATACGCTTTTGCTCTTAGATAGCAGGAAAACGCGGATCGAAAACATCTCTACTTCTTAATTTTTTCTATGGAATGACCCTGGAGGGCCGAGGGTGAAAGGAGGTGAAGTAGTTTTTGGTTAAAATGTTATACCTCTTGACAAATCTTTTGACGTGTCTCGCCGTTTTTTCTCTTAATCAGTGGTTTTCGATAAATCCGATATCCGATAAAGTTTCCAAATGAACACCTTGTATACGAGCATTATGCTTGGAGTGTAATTTAATGAGGTTACTTGATATCATGATGTAAAATTATACAGTGTAGTATATCTAGTGTCTAAGTGCGTATCAAGAGCTATTATAATCAGTTATCAAATATTTTTGACAAACATTTTTGCACCAGAGCTGCATAGAAATGAGACTACCGTGCTGCATTCTGAGGAAATTTTTGTTCATGAAAAGCCCAAATATAGTGCACTTATGGTTTTGACAAAATCTGCGTTTTTTCGATGCTATTGCACTACATGAAACTACTAGAAGTTGTTTCGAAGGCGTGGAAAGTATAGAGTCAATCTACTTGACGTCCTTTTTTCCTGATCTTCATTCTACTCTACGGCCTTATGTCAGGATATAATGATTTTCATAGCCGGCCATTTTTCATTGGCTAACCACGAGTTAAGACACAGAGATTTGTAATGATGGTAAAGTTAAAAATAATGAAACTCCTATTTAATAATAATTATTTATAGTTGCGCCTGTTATACAACATTTAATTTGTTTTCGAATTAATGAAAACAAAATGTGTATCTGTGTTGTAGGGCCGTTCTATGCGAAAATATACTTTTCTTACACGGCGCTGCGTGACCCA